TCTGCCTCCCGAGTGCTGGGATTAAAGGCGTGTGCCACCAACACCCAGCCAGAAAATGTATTTTTAATTAGCTCAGTTTTATATATTATATCAGATGACAGTTTAACTCATATGTCCTTGTATATAATTTTTTAAAAACTTTCTTTGCACTGTAGTTTATCCCATAGTAAGTATCTAAATGCCAAGCCTTACATAGGATTAAACATTTCAAATTTGCTACAAATATATAACTTTCTCTTAATAATTACCAATAAATGAAACAAGGGGGGAATGTCACACATCAAGTTAGATAGCCAAATTCCAGAACTGTCAGAACAGTCTCCAGACTGGGAAGATAGTTCAGCCGAGAGTGTTTGCCCTGCAAGTACAAGGGCTTGCATTCAGCTCCCAGAACCCATGTGAACAGTTGGGCATGTTGGTACATGCTTGTAATCCCAGTGCTGGGGGAGACAGAGACAAGTGGATTTCTGGGCCTCATAGGCCAGCCAACCTGGCCTACTCCTCCGGGACACTCCAGGCCAGTGAGAGACTCTCTCAAAAAGCAACATGAGTGGTTCCTAAAGAATAACACCAATGTTGACTTCTGGCTTCCACATGTGGGTAGACACATGTGCACCCAGCCACACTGTATGCAACCCCCTGCCACTACGTACATGTACACACAAAGCTCCATACAAACACAACCACATGCACACCCCACATACACAGCCACACAAACAAGTAACCACATACTCACTGTGTGTATATACATCAGTCATGTTTGCATTACATTTCACTTTGGCTGAATCATCTGAGACACGGGAGAAAACAACTAAAATAAGTGCAAGTAACTCTGATTTCACTATTCATGAACATATATATTATAAAGAAAGTTCTTTTTTAACAAATAACAAGTGTTCTCATAGACATAGTATTGGGAGTCATTTGTTTTCATATGCAGAAAATGTTTTTTTGTTTTTTTGGTTTTCGAGACAGGGTTTCTCTGTATAGCTTTGGAGCCTGTCCTGGCACTCGCTCTGGAGACCTCATGTACATGTACCTTTATTGTGTTTGCATTGGTATGAAGGTGTCAGATACCCTGAAACTGGAATTACAGACAGTTGTGAACTGTCATGTGGATGCTGGGAATTGATCCTAGGTCCTCTGGAAGAGCAGCCAGTGCTCGTAACCTCTGAGCCATCTCTCCAGCCCTATAAGGAATGTTCTTAAGGCTGAAAATATTTAACAGTGCTTTATCATTTGTTGAGTTTACCTACATTAAAATTCTCCCTCTACCCAGCCCAATGCCATTTAAATAATGAACTGAGCATGTATTTTTTTTTTTTAGGTTCCATAGTTTAGAGAGGAACTAAGTATTTTCATTCTAAGGTAATTAATTGTTGAAAGGCATCTACATGGTTAGAAGGTTTTCCACATATACATAGGAATATATGGTTCTCAAATGAGTGTAGATAACATACTGAATTTTTTTCCTCATAGTTATTCAACAAGGCAGGCATTTCATAGGTAGAAGTAATTCAGTTTTCACAGTCAATAGCTTAACATAGGTGAAATGTATTGATACAATATGTCTGTTACAGTTTTTGTTTCTGCCATAGTAGATACTCTTTAATTCAATGCAGCTTTCTGCTTCAGTTGTCATATGGAAATAATTCTCCTATTTTATCATGATGTTCTACAAATCATCTGCTTAGATTTCTGCCTGTGAGAAGAGTTGAAATTTGGCCTACAATGAGACTATGAAGATGATGTTGTTGTTTTCATTCTGTCTTTTGTTGCCGTATGTATTACAGAGTCTATGTTTTGAGTATAGATCAGCCTAGCCTAGAATTCACAGAAAACCATCTGCCCGCACCTCTGCCTCCTGAGGGCTAGAATCCAAGGTCTGCTCCACCATGCTCAGCTAACTGACTTTTTTCAAAACATGTGCCACTATCTTCACTGATTGTTTTTAAAGCGTGTGTGTATAAGTCTATTGCATTTATATTACCTTCTATGCAATCAACCCAGAAAACGTTTTCTGAATTATATTCTTCGAGCATTGTAGATCAAAGTGTCTCTACCAGCTGTTCTCTCAGACCCCGACTTTCACTTAGAAACTTAGTATTAGTTTTACCCTGAGAACATCTAAATTTAAAAATAAATTTCAATTTATCATTGGTTCAGTGTGACACAACATATGCTTTGATTATTTTTCTTTAACTTACCTTTTTGGTCACCTTGAAAAAAGTCACTAGAGTTGAGAGGAGGGAGGGGTTGCTGAGAAGGGATTTGGAAAGAATAAAGCAGGAGCCGGCCTGCAGGGGTGGGTAGGGCTTGAGCAGGGAGGAGGCAGAAGGGCTGTTTGTGCCAGTGCATTAAGTATTTTTAGTGCTTCAGGTCATTCTTCTTCTTGTCTCTCCATCCCCAGGATTACCTTCTTACCCTGGGAAGCTCTCCTCTCTGCAACTCTGGCCACCCCTTCCCACCATGCATCTTTGATGTGTGGACGACCCTTTGCACAGGAATTAGCTGTAATAACCAAATTTATGTTAGTGTAAAGTCAAGTTGCTAATAACTCTTTCTAATAGATGAGATAGATTGTATTGTATCTTGGAGAATTTTTTTTTTTTTTTGCAAGGATTTTGACTTGAAGGCTTCTATAGTAGCATATGACCAAGCAAGAAAGAAAGGGAGTAGTGCCCCTGTGGCGCTCAAGGCCTGGTGTTCATGACCTGGCCCTCAGGGGTGCTCAGTAAGTGCTGTTGCTGTCAGAACCCCAGGAAGAGGACACTAGTTTGGAGTCACATCAGCTGGGCACAAGAGAGACCAGCCACTTCCCCCTCACCCACACTCTATCTCTCTATCTCTCTTTTAAGGCTTTTCAGAAGAAAAAAAAGATAATGAGATTCCTGGTTCTGCGTTTGTTCTTTTCTTTTGATGGTTAAACTTGGTTTTATATTGAAAACTTAACCTGCAAATACCCAGTTTGTCCTTAGACATTCCCACCCCCTTTTGGGTGAGATTTTAAACTAAAAGTGACTCAGGTTGGCTCATTAACTTAATCCTAAAAGTGTGTGTTTTCTTTAGATTTATCACTGTATAAAATTTTGATTGAATTTGTTAAAATCCCAAACTAGATAAGTTCCAAATAGGAATAGTATTTACTTACTGGTCTCCTGCAAAGACAAATACTTCCTTTCTTCTCTCTGCCCCTTTGTATGCTGGGATTTAGCCTGAAGCAAATATTTACAGAGTAATTACGTGCCTGCAACAAGGGCTACAATGGCAGTGTTGACACAGCCACAACTGTGGCTCTAGGAACAGGATGACCACAATTAAGAGTCAAATCCTGAAACATGTTCATTGATGGTTTCTGGGAAACGCCATCCCTCTGGGCTTCTTTTTAATTTTCTTTTTGTTTTTTGTTTGTTTGTTTTTACATTTATTTCTACCAGCTGGAGTTCCCTAGCTCTCTGCCCAGATTCTAGGCAGCTCTCTTCACATTGACCAGAATAACACAAACGTGAAGAGGTGAAAGTGGTTGTGCATCAGGTCATGCTCTGTATTAAAGTTCCTGCTCATCTGCTTGCTGTGCCAGGCTCATCTCCTGCTGACACAAATAATATATTCTGTGCAGTCATCATTGAAAACATGCTTCCTTTGGAGTTGCACTTTAAAAAACAAACGGGGGGGGGGGGTGGAGAACCAGGGTACTGCTGGAGTTTTAGAAAACTGACACAAGAGCACATTGTGTCTTTCATAAGCAAGATTCCCCCCTGATTAGATGTAAGGTACCCTGGGCCCTCCCTCTCTACCCAGTGATCATGTAAAAGGGTGACCCCATTCTATGTGGGGAAGATGGGAACAGCAAGGATTCATCTGTTAGCCTCCCATTTGGCATTATTTAAAATGATGTCCTGGTTGAGATCAACTTGAGTTGAGTTCTGCTACAGATCATCTGAGTATTGGCTGTTCTACTTCTACAGGTAGTAATTAAAAAATGGTCCATCCCTTGTCCTGTGACCTTAAAGTGCATCGATGGAGTGTTCCAGGTGATCATTTTTAGGTTCTTTTATTTTTAACTTTTCAGCTAAAAAAGAAATGGGAGGTAAATGACTACTTTTTTTTCTAATTAATGAAAAAGAAATGGTTACATTTTATTTTAGAACTTTGCTTTGAAGTAATTTGATTTGAAAATGTAGTAGTAATAAATTCATCATATTTGTTGCTGTATTCTGACTTTTAATCGCTATTGGTTTCTCTTTTCCCCTCAATACTCTTAAACAGATTTCAAATGCTACAGATGACTGTAAACCAAAGCTCTTTCATTTCTCCAAAGAGGTGTGTAACTTATTAACAGATACTTTCGGCTGATTTTTCACATTTCAAGTTTTAAGAGATTTGTGTAACAGGGTCTCTCAGGTCTTTATACCTGTACCTAATTAATTTTCATGAAAGTGCTAAGTATAGGATTGCCTACCAGAAGAATAATATTATGTAACACAGGGTGGCCCATTATGAAACAGCCACCTTTTTCTTTTCTTTCTTTTGGCATGCCTTTAAATGGAGCCTGTTTTAAATGGGCCACTGCCTAAAAGAACAGATTTACCAAATGTCTGGTCTGGCCAGTGAGGTCCTCTGTGGATACGGTTTTCCTGTTGCTCTGGACTTGTAAAGTTAAATCGCCAATTACATCAAAAACTCCTCCCCTGTGAAAAGGACTTTGGTCTCTAGCTAAACAGCCTCATCATTGGATCAGCAGTTGAGCACTGCCATACTCCTTCTGCACAGCATTCCAAGAGGGAATTTATGATGCTCAGAGCAGAGACCAGAAGACCAAGTCCCTTGCCCGCTCTAAGAGAGCTGTAGGATCCTGAAAATGCCTGGAAGAGCCCCTGAGCGTGAGCAGAGAAACAGGAGCTGCCATCTGCATGGTGGGAAAGCTGTCTTCCTATTTCTGGGAGCCTGTTCCTTCTCCTCATTGTATTTCTGCTGAAATGCTGTTTTGTAGGTCCCAGACACTAGACTCACTGCACAGCTTTATTATATAGAATGTTAATGTGGTTAGTCCTCCATGCAAAACTTTCCTTTTTATCCCCAGTTTCTAACTAAGAAATGTCTCTCAAGCCCCACAAGGGAGCTTACCACATCTTTCACAGGGTAAAGACCTCCACAGGCCTTAAAGATCTAGGTAGGGTAATTGACAAGCTGGGAAATTGAGTAATATATGAAACAGAGAATTTGTGACTTAAACTCTAATTCCCCTAACACAGCTTCAGGGAACGTGATTTCCTAGGTACCATACCCCAAAGTAGGTCTTCATCTGGAAGTTCTTTTGGTGAATAGCCTAATGCTAGCTAAGGAAAAATATTTTTAGACCAGAAAAGAGAAATCACTGCCATCCATTTGTTAAAGACAGTAATTTAATTTATAGGGTAACTTTTTGGCTTGCTAGTTTTCTCTGGCTCTTGTTAAGTATTCTAATAATAATTTTTAAGGAAACTATAGGTTTATGTATTACAAGGAGTTTTTCAGGTCTAGAATTAACGATCTTTGTGTTCATTAAAAAGGATCTTGGTCAAAGATTCTGGCAGCACAAAGATGTGGTTTCTATTTTTAGTCCTTACTTGCACTGAGTAAGTAAAAGCAGATTCAAGCGTTATTGCCACTTGGGGTAATGAGATGTATCTAAATTGTGCATACCTTAAGAATGACTGGCAATTATAATAAAATGTCCTTAGAAGTAGCTATTTATATCTTTCCTAAATTATTTCTATCTTATTCAAATACTGTAGAAGATGGTGATTGTAATAAAGCAACATGATATGAGAGGCCAGCCAGAAACTGTTGAGGTCCGAATAAGCAAGCCACCTACCTGGAAGCTAAACACCTACTGCCCACACACACCCCTCTCAAAAGTCTTATAAAGAGATCATTCATAAAAGATGAAATAAATTCAACCAAGTTGTTTAAAGAACCTTATTGTTGGGCTGGCAAGGTGTCTCAGTTGTATTATTGGGTGCCTGCTACCAAGCCCTATTCACCAGAACTCACGTGGTGGAAGGAGAATACTGACTCCCACAAGTTTTCCTCTGACCCCTCCCTACAAGTGCTAAATGGCATGGGTATGTGGGTGCACACATACACATTTTTTAAAGTGTAATTAAAACAGAACCAAATCAAATAAAAATGGAGTAGCATTTAATGATTTTGTCTTCTAAATTTTTTTTCAGAGTATTTATGCCCTACCAACCATGGCCTTTTCATTTCTCTGCCATACCTCAATATTGCCCATTTACTGTGAGCTTCAAAGGTACTGTGGAACTCTGGAAATGTGCTTTTACCTCTGGGGCTTGCCTATTGAATTGCATTCTCACTTACGAGTCCTTTTCTGTTGTCCTGAATCCTACTCAAGATTATCTGAAAAGTCCTGACTGGCCTGAGAGATGCTTGTTTCTCCAGATATGACTGGGATCACTGGCTTTACCAACTCTTGCTGGTTTTTGTGTTTCAGCCCCTCGAAGAAGAGGATGCAGAATGTAACCAATACAGCAATTGCTTTAAGCTTCCTGCTTTACTTTGTGTCTGCACTCTTTGGATACCTCACTTTTTATGGTGAGTATATTCTTAACTATAGGTGAGGAAGGAAGCATAGGTGACCTCACACCTGCCTGTGGCCATTCTTTCCACCTTTCCCTAGTAAGTTCATCTGGCAGGCCACATGTCAGTCCTGTGGTGACTTTGTTATGTCCTTTCTCTGACAAAGGTGAAGCACACTTGAGAGTAATGACTTCATGGGAAAGTGTTCCTGCTTTTTAGATTTTTAATTTAATTAATTATATTTTGTGTGTATGTACGTATGTGTCTAAGTGTGAGTAGAGTACCTCTGGAGGCCTGAAGAGGGCATCGGGTCCCAGGAAGCTGGAATTACCCCGGAAACAGGTGGCTGTGTCCCCTCCAACTTGAGTGTCAAATTCCTGTTCTCTGTGAGTGTACTACACATTCTTAACCGCTAAGCCATCTATCTAGCCCCTAAAATTTTTCTTAGACTTTTATGTAAAATTTCAAACATATTAATATCTCTATAAAATAACGATGTGGATCTTTTAAAATTGCATATCCAAAGCCAGGTACAGTGATGCACATCTTTAATCCCAACACTCAGGAGGTGGAGGCAGGAGAAACTTTGTGAGTTCAAGATCAGCCAGGTCTACATAGTGAGTTCCAGGATACTCAGAACTACATAGTGAGACCCTGTCTCAAAAAATGAAAAAAAAAAAAAAAAAAAAAGTACATATTTAGTATGTTAGACTCTAGATGAGAAACTTACAGGTTAGGAAAGTAAACCACCTCAATAATTACAAAAGAGCAACTCAGGAAGCAAAAGATAGATAGTACAGCACTCAGCTGTTGGGCATCACTGCATCCATAGAGCATGTGCTTAAGCACATCGATGCCTCTGCTGCACTAGGGCCTTTCTCTTTAAGTTTCTTAAAGACACTTGTAGACTTATAAAACATGAGCAAAATTCTCTTGTATTTATTTTGGAAATGTTTCCTGCATAGTTTATTGGGGTTTTTTTTCTACTTTAAACAAGAATGTCAAGAACAAAAACAAAGTCTAGAAGAAGAAAGAAAATATGAGCAAAGATTGCAAACAATCACATCATAGCACATGCTGTTCAACTCACCCAGTTTTGAATGTATTCTTCAACTTATAAATGTTTTTATAGTGACTGCAAGTGAATGGCTGATACTACTTGGGGGTGCTTAACTGTTGGTGACCTGCTTGATGGCTTTGTGCACCTTTCAAGTTTGAGACTTTGGTGGTCACCAGCTGTGGACTTTATTAATACTTTTCTCCCTGTTTCTCCAAGCTGCAAGTTTTTAGTCACTGTTTTCTTATACCACCACATGGCCTAGGCCCTTTGAGAACCATACCGGTTTTGGAATCCAACAAATCTGGGTCATATAACTAACTGCCATTCCCTAACTAGCTCTATGACCTTGAGGGGAGCCTCTACCTTGAAGCATCTTCAGCTCCTAATCAGTAATGTGAGCACAAATGCACAGATTATAGTGAGGCAGAAATGAATTCTATATAAAATTCTGCTATAGTATTTGGCACATAATAGTCCTTCTCAAATGAGAGCTCTTCATAGCTATATATTACCATCATCCTAACTATTATAATTGTCTCAATTTTAGGTTCCCTATTTCAGCACTATGCTTCTAATTATTCTTATGTTGTATAGTATATAGGGACAGATACATGTGTGCACCTGTGAGGGTGGAGGTTAGAGGACAAGCTCAGGTGTCATTCTCCGGGAGCCTCCACCTTGGTTTTTGTTTTGTTTTGTTTTGTTTTGTTTTGAAACAGGTCTGATACTGGACCTGAAATTTACAAGTTGGCTTTTGGGCTGGCTAGTCAGCAAGCTGCAAGGATGACACCTGTCTGCCACCCCAATACTGGGTTTATAAGCACATACCACTGTAGGCAGAGGTTTTCAGTGTCCTGGCAGTCATTCCCATACAACCACAACAGAACAATACTAATTATAAATGCTCAGCCAATACCTCAGACTTGTTGCCTTATGTTTTAAATTAGCCCATATTTCTTCTTCTTCCTCTCTCTCTCTCTCTCTCTCTCTCTTTCTCTCTCTCTCTCTCGACAGGGTTTCTCTCCACATTCTCCCCCCCCACAAAGAGAAAAAATCTCTCTCTCTCTCTCTCTCTCTCTCTCTCTCTCTCTCTCTCTCTCTCTCTCGACAGGGTTTCTCTGTATTGCGTTGCACTCTCTCTCTCTCTCTCTCTCTCTCTCTCGACAGGGTTTCTCTGTATTGCATTGCAGATTGTCCTCGAACTCACTCTGTAGACCAGGCTGGCCTCAAACTCACAGGGATCCGTCTGTCTCTGCCTTCCGAGTGCTGGGATCAAAGGCGTGTCCCACCAATGCCCAGCTCCATATTTCTTCTTTATGCTCTACCATGTGGCGGTATCTTTATTAGCATGGCATGTTCATCTCCTGCTCCCTCTGCCTCTCCTAGAGACTCCTCTGGCTCCTCCCTCTTCATCCCAGCATTCTCTCTGCCCCAAAATCCAGCCTAGCTAATGGCCACTCAGCTTTTTATTAACAATCAGAGGAATACATTTTCACAGTGTACAGGATTATTCTACAGCATACCACCATACGCAGTTTTCTTAAAAATGGATTCTAGGGATGGAACTCAGATCCTCATAGCTGCAAGGCAACCATTGTACCAACTGAGCCCTCTCCAAAGCCCCTCTTCTGTGTGACAGCTTTTCAGTATGTGCTCTGTTGTCTAGGTGTTATCACCATGTGACACAATTACAATGGTTCTGTAGTTCCTCCCTTCCTGTCTTATTTCAACAGTAACAAAGGCCAACCCACTCATCGAAATTTGTACTTGCATTTTGTCCTGCCACAGGGTGAGAGTAGTGGAGTTCTGTGTATTATTCAGAAAAGCATGCTGCCCAGGCCGAGCACAGTGCCTGCCACCCAACAACTCAGATGGGCTTGTTTAGATGAGTAATGAGGCCACTTACCTCCAGAGACACGTGGAACAGAAGCTCGGGTTCTGTTTTTCTTTCTCCAAATCCAGTGCTTTCAACACTGTGCCACCTCTAAAAGACACAAAGCCTAGGCCATACTGCTGTGTCCTAGCTTCTGATTAAAGTGAGCTTCAGGAAACCGTGACTTTTCTAAGTCCCTGTCATATGTCTGTCTGACATCCATCCACCATTACTTTCATCATGAAGATGAAGTGTTTCCTAGGCAGGGATTTGCCACGTTGCTGAGTCAAGCTGTCAGGTACCTCTAACTTAGCCCTTCTCCATAGACCCTGTGCATTCAGATGCTGTGTACTGAAGGAATGTACAGCTGATAGGATCACCAGTGGGTAGGCCGTTGGCAGATGGGTGACAACACCCTCCCAAAGGTGGAGGACAGGAGTAATAATTTGTTCCTTGTAGTAGTTCTTTTTCTTTCCATTGTTAATTGTAATCAGGAAATGCCTTGTATTGTGACTTTCAAATGGTGCAGTCAGAGCTGTCTGAAAGCAGGAAATTGTTAGTTTGGTAGGCCTAGCCTGAAGTTCAAGCTTGTCATTCATCTTTTCAGGTTAGCAGTGTTATTCCAGAGAGGTAAAGTGGCCTGGAATTAAAGGCAGCTTTCTGCATGCAAGCCTGTATTCTTGCTTCGACCTTACGACCTTACGGAAATCTTCCTCAGTGTCTTAAGCCACTTGACACCAGTGGTGAAAATGACTTGCAAAAATCACCATCAGGTCCTTTCTAAAATTTGTGAAGCTTTTTCTGAGTCCAAATAAGTGTGCTGTAATTGTTCCTTACATATGCTAAAGCTGGGCTAAGAATAGAGGAGGGCTGGCTCAGAAGGTTTTCCCCCTGGGGAAGTAGTGTTTCTAGTAAATGTAGTTTCTAATACTCTGGAGCTGATTGGAATCTTTATCCCAGACTCTGAAAGCTTAGTTAGTATCGGACTTTTGTCAGATTAAAGGGGTCTGTAAGTATGTTGATACTTACATCTAATAATACTGGTTCTAATCACAGATGTTAAAGAGGAAAAGTGTCCCTCTGGTGAGCCAGGCCGGTGCCCAAACATTGGGTAACCAGGCCATTTTAATGTCTGTGAGGTTGTTAAAAAGAAGTGTTAATAGCCCATTTTATGATTCAGAAAATGGAAATAAAATAGTTTGCCATATTTCTCCAAAGACTCCCAAGTATCTCACAGATTTGGAAATAGAATCCAGATTTCTTGGTTCCTCCCAGTTTTCCTACCTAGTTCCATTCTTCATTCTGTAACTTTTGTCTGTAGCATTGTAGACAATTTTGTTTCTCTCCTGTGCCAATGAGCCTAGCTCAGAGCCTCATTACTTCAGTGATTATAGCAGTGACTTTCTGGGTTTTTTTTTGTTTCTGATATTTTCTGTCCACTCTGTTACTTGTGTGTAATTTGGGTCACAATACACTCCTCTTTCTGTCTTACATTCCTCATTGCTGCAACAAAGTACCTGGGGCACAAAGCAGCCTGAGGGAGGAAGGGTTTATTGTGGCTCCCAGTTCACGATTCAGTCCATCATGGCAGGAAAGGGGGGGGCGGGGTGCTCGTAGTCAGAAGAACAGGAGTAATGAGGTCTTGTCCAGCTTGCTGTCTCCGTTTCATACAGTCCGGGGTCCTGGCCCATGGGATAGTGTCACCCACCACTGAGTCTTCCTATCTTAACTATCCTTCCTAATCAAGAAAACCCTCACGGGCACACCAGAGATTTTGACAATTAAAATTAACCAATTCCTAAGTAGTTGTACTTTCAGCTTGTCAGATCCAACCCTGTGCAGGGCTGTCTTTGCTGGGTCTCCAGTGCCTCTCACCTCATTCACTCGCTGCCCTCTTTGTCCTCCTGCTCAGGATGCCTCCCCTGTAGTGCTGACTGGAGCATTCAGGTCCCCAAACACACATTCCCTTTGCATTGTCATCTCACTGTAGAATCAGTGTAGCTCATTGTTTAAACCTCCTCCTGCTGCTCAGATTTGTTCATGGTGTATAGACTTTCTGTCGTGTTTTTAGGGAGTTGTCTTATCTCTTAAAACTTAGAAAAGCAGAAGCATATGTGAGTTTTATTTCCTCCAATTTTTGTATTTTTAAAATGTGATTGTCTTATTTCTAAAACCCCATTCTCTGAAATGAAAAAGACCCATTGTATTTTAAGTCCAAACTCATCTTTGTCCATAGGTCTTGAGGTGTGGTGTGAATGCTCTGGTTCTTTCTCACAGGACCCGGGTGAGGGAAACCATCTGAATGGAAAGCAGGGCTGGCATCTCTCAGTCCTGTCTCTCTCTGTCCTGCCTAAAGATGCCATTTTCTTAAGGCTTCATTGTCTCTTATGTAAGATGGAAACAGACAAAGCTGATAGTATGCACAAACACCGTGCAGACTACAGAAACAACCCCTGAAAGTATAGTCTTACACAAAATGCTGGGAAATTTGAGAAAACGCTGGTATAGAGGGAAAGCTATCACAAAAGTGTGGGATGCTCTGCCTGGTATTTGTGAGCCTACTTATCTCATTGCCATGGTGACCAAGTTTAGCAGTAATTACATGCAAGCACTTTACAGACACTTTCGTTAAAATTATGGACAAGTTCTAAAGAGTTTTGCTTTGGTTTGTGTTTTGTTTTATTTTGTTGTTTTTGTAACTGGGCCTTACTGGATTGAAACTTGCTAGGTAGACCAGGCTAGCTTCAAACTCCCAACAATCCATCTGCCTCTGCTTCCCCATTGCTTTGATAAAGGCCATGCACCACCACACCTGGTTAAGGAGATGCTTTAAATACAATTTTTTTGTCCTTATTTTGGAGATTTTGTGTGTCCTGGTTTAAAGTTTATTAAAAGAATACAAGAGTTGACATGGGCTGGCAGATGTCTCAGCCGGTAAAGCACTTGCCACCAAGCCCAGTGACCTAAGTTTGATTCTCAGGACACACATGGTAGAAGGAGAGACTCAACTGCTGCAAGTTGTCCTCTGAGCTCCGTGTGTGTGTGTGTGTGTGTGTGTGTGTGTGTGTGTGTGTGTGTGTGTGTGTGTGTGTGCGCGCGCGCGCGCAGTGGCACAGACACACCCAAATAAATAAATAAATGTAATACATTGTAGAAAGAAGTATACATCTCAGGAAAATACTAAGTAGCAGAGAGAAAAGGGCCAGAAATGAATTCCAGAATGGGATCCAAGCCTACTATGATGCAATGAGCCAACAGAAAATAATTTTGCTATTATTGATATAGTGGTGCATAGTTTATAATTCGACCCTGATTGCTGCTGCTGCTGTTGTTTTAATTTATTTACAGACAAAGTGGAGTCAGAATTACTACAAGGTTATAGTAAATACTTGCCACATGATGTTGTTGTCATGGCTGTGAAGCTATGCATACTGTTTGCTGTGCTTTTGACAGTCCCTCTGATCCACTTCCCTGTAAGTATGCCTAAAGGTTTTGTTGCTTAGTGTCGTGGCTCCCTAAGATGGCAACACTAATTCTCTGCAGACCAGAACCTTGGGATCATAGCTAGTCTTGTGTATCTTATTCATTTGTCAAGTAATTGATCCAAGACCTCATACTAGCATATGGTCCCATGAAAGCCCAAAAATAACAGCCAACCTCGAAGCTAATTTGTGCTTTCTGAGATTTAGTTTAGATTTACCTCTCTCTCAGTTTTGTTTCCAATTTAGAGACTTGAGTTCTAAAGTGGGTTTTTTTTTTTTTTTTTGGTTTTTGTTTTTGTTTTTTGTGGGAGTGGGGGAGTGTCTTTCTGTATTCAGTTTTCAAAAGAATATGCACAAAGCAAAGGCAGTCAAGTCAGCAGAAACGAGCCCCTCTTGGCCTGTTACAGGTTGCTTTCCACGGGCAGTTCATGCTTAGGCTTTGTACTTGTTCTAGAATTTGAGAGGGGGAACAGATTCCCATTCTGTATCCAGTTGCTACACATAAGAATCTTAAGAATTTCCATGAAAATGAAAACAATGGCAATGGGTAGAAATGCTTCTGCCTAGGCATCTTGAACTCATGTGAGTGTCTAATGACTGGGACCTTACAGAATTCTTGCCCCTCCCTGTGAGACTGGAGGACCAGGAGTCCTTGTGGGCTGTGGTTGCCAGTGACCTGCCCTAGCAACAGAAGATGTGGGGACCTTTTTTTTTTTTTTTTTTTTTTTTTTTTGGATCTACATGCCATAGAACAGATAACAGAAATAAAAGAGAATGGTATTTCTTTTCCATGCCATGGTTTATTTTTTTTCCACTTGAAAGTTTGTTTGCCTGTTGAATTTAATGAAAATTGTTCTTTGTGATTTCACAACACACTGTTATTGCTTGTAATTTTTCAAATTACAGAATCTAAAAAAAAAAAAATTGCCTGTGAAACTTTTGTGTGGAATTTAAGCAAAATAATTTTTATGAAGCTCACTCAGAAAGGTTTCTGTGTGTAAAAACACTGCATAATGATAGTTTATGCTGTGTCTGGGGGATATAAATGATCTGGGGTAAAAATATTATGGTTACTATACATGTGTTTCTCTAAGCAAATGCTATGCCTTTGATCCTTCCATTTTGCCTGAATCTCTTTTTTTCTGCTACACAGGCCAGAAAAGCCTTAATGATGATACTTTTCTCAAATTTTCCATTTTCATGGATTCGGCATTCTCTGACCACATTAGCGCTCAACATTATCATTGTTTTACTTGCAATATATGTTCCTGACATTAGGAATGTATTTGGTATAGTTGGTAAGTTTCCACTAAAAAAAAAAAAAAAATCATGTAATCAAAGGGACAGGGGAGGACATCTCAGTGTGTAGGCTTCTTAGATTTGATTTCTAGCTCCACAGAAATAAAAGGGTAATACTGTTTTTGCTCTCACGGCTTAATCCAACGGTGTCTTGTTTTTCTCCTCTCTACCTTTTAGGTGCCAGCACTTCAACATGCTTGATTTTTGTATTCCCAGGATTATTTTATCTGAAACTTAGCAGAGAGGATTTTCTCTCATGGAAAAAGCTTGGGGTAGGTTGTTTTCAACTATTTCCTTTAAGGTTTCCATCTTAAGCAATAGTTTGTCATTTTTTATTACTGTATCTATGTCTAAGAAGTCAATATGTACCTTAATATATAAAGTACATCTTGGAGTCAGTCGTGATGCTCATGCCTGCAATCCCAGCTCTTAGGAGGCTAAGGTGGGAGGATTGCTGGGTATTTCAGACTAGCCTAAGCTACACTTCAGAGAAGGGCAGAGGCTTACCCTCACTGTGTCCTTTGTCTCCACAGGCTTTGTTCCTGCTTATCACTGGTACCTTGGTTGGGAGCTTCAGTTTAGCACTCATCATTTTTGACTGGGTCAACAACAAATAAAGTAATTTTCTATTACAAAGAATAATTTACCTCTGTAAGCAAGAAGGAATCGTTCTGGAAGGCATTGGATATGAAAAATTATACTCAGGGAAATTATTACCAGAAAAGCAAGACAGAGCAACAGTATACACCAGAAAGTAGGAAGTTAGTCATTTTAATTTTTACCAAAAATTAGAAATACTCAGAATGTTGTTCTTAAATGTGTTGAATCACTGTTTTGTGTGGGAATTTTGTTTTGCTTTTGAGATAAGATCTCGATGTATTGTTCAGGCTGGCCTTGAACTTACAATCTGCCTGCTGCTGCTTCACAAGTGCTGGCATTAAAGGTGTGCACCTCCATCCTGGCACATGACTGCCACCATCCTGGCACATACCTGCCATTTGAGACTTAAAAAAAAAAAAAGTAGTCTTTATTTTTTTATTGAGTAAATGAAATAAGGGGTTCCATGTAACTTCCCACCCTAACCTCTAGCTTTCCCTGACAGAAACACCTGTGTCAATATAGCACATGTTATACCTAGGAATGCTAAAGGTTGACAGTGGGCTTTGTTCTTAGTCACCACTGATCTTTTTACCACAATGCCATGGTTGGGATCGTATAGGACCCTGTGCCATTTTCAGATTGACTTTTTATTAAATAGCTTGTTTCCTTTTACTACTTAATAATATCCAATTATAGGGACATATCAAACTTGTTGATCCACTCACCTCTTCCTACTTCTTCCAAGTTTTGACAGCTATCAATAAAGGTGCTGAAAATGTTTGTGTGCAGGTTTTTACATGGTCATGTTTTCAATGGCGGGGGAGGGAATTAAATACAAAGGAACACTTGGTGCATTGTAAATGTATGTTTTGTTTTCTAAGAAACCGCCAAACCCTTCCAAAGCCCTTATAACATTGTGTGTTATTGCCAGCAAAGAGTGAGTGTTCTGTAATCCCATGTCCTCCAGCATTTGGTGTTAGCAGTGTCAGGTGCTGCATTCTCGCCAGTTGAGTGGGATGCGCTAGCATCTCTACTGTGAGATTCCCTGATGGAGTGAGATGGGCATCGCACATGCTCCAGTGACCAGCTGCTGCTTATTTTGTTAGATGAATGGCTAATTCTTTTGCCCATTTTTAAATTGGGTTGTTTGTTCATTATTTAGTTTTACATATTCTTTGGATACTTGTGGGGTTTTGGGGGGGTGGGGGGTGGGAGGGGATCCAGACTGGGTTTCTCTGTGTAACAGCTCTGCTGTCCTGGAACTAGTTCTGTAGATCAGGCTGACCTCAAACTTACAGAGATCCGACGGCTTCTACCTCCTCGAGTACTGGGATTAAAGGTGTGCACCACCACTGTCTGGCTCCATTTTTTCTAACAAGCTTTCACAGAACAACATTTTTTAAATATAAAGAATCAGGGGCTGGAAAGATGGCTCAATGGATAAGAGCACTCATTGCTCTTCCACAGAACTCAGGTTCAATTCCCAGTACCCACATGGCAGTTGACAACCATCTGTAACTCCAGTTCCAGGGGAGTCAACACCATCTTCTGACCTCTGCAGCCATGAAGCACATGTGGTACATAGACATACATGCGTGCAAAATATTCATACACGTAAAATTAAAAATTACAAAATAGATTGTAATAACAGTGAGGTGTTGAGAGAAAGGACCAAGGATCATAAATAAAGAAGATGAGAAGTGAGTGAGCAAGAGCAATACCAGGGACCAAACGGTTTTGCCAAGCTGATGGCTTATGCCAAGCCAATCTAGTTTATTATGAAGTACAGCTTCATATATACTGTTTGCCAGGAAGCAAGGGGGGGGGGCAAGGTCAGCAGACAGCTAAGTTAGACACGTTGGCAAAGAACATGGGATACCTCAGATACAGCTGCCTAAGGACTGATAACCATAGCCCAGGGGGAAGAGTCGGCTCCCAGAAACTAACCTTGACTCTTGAGGCATTGGCTCCAGCTAGACAGGCCTTACCAAGGCCGCTCCTAGGCAAGGACATAGAACTAAAGTTCCCTTTGTTCTCTCAGGAGGGCCTCTAAGAAAGTCTTAAGTTGGTCTGCCTCCCCATAATATATAAAGAACCAATTTTTGTTTTTTTAAGAAGCCAGTGTATTACATTTACATACAAAATTGATTCTTAGTGTGGGTTAATATTAGTGTCCGTCAGAAACTGGGATTTCTCTACTGGGTATGGCCCTTCTTCCCAGTCTTACCTGAGATTTTTCTGTTGCTTATATGAGTTTGAAAGCTCTCCAAACCTTCTCAGTTTGTCACTATAATATGTAACATTATCCCTAGAAAACATACATAGTGATGATCTGTCTCGTGTTGTTTAGAAATTGTACATTGCTCTCTGACCATTGACATGATTCCCAGTTGGAAACGTTAACCTGGGACTCTTCTGCCATGAGGATTCAGTGTAAAGGGTCCCATGTCTGGCAGCCTGCTACAGCCAGGACACCTAAGTTAAAAATTCTACAGCAGGGGCTAGAGAGATGGGTCAGTGATTAGGATTACTGACTGCTCTTCCAGATGACCCAAGTTCAATTCCCAGCACCCACATGGCAGCTCACAACTGTCTGTAATTCCAGTTCCAGGGGATTTGGCACCCATGATCAAAGTGCCAATGTACACAAAATAAAGATTAAATTTTTTTTTTCAAATCCTGCAGCAGTTGACTTGTAAAGTGGGGAGTTTCATGCAAAGTGATAATTTGCATATATGAAAACACACACTTTAGCAGGTGATCTCTTGCCTCCCACTTAGGGTAGAGGCTGAAAGTTTGGCAAGAGAGCTTCTCTTTTAAAAAAGATCAAAGGGAATGCTGGCAACTTGAGAGCTCTGAGCATAATGGAAAGACCAAGCTTTGGGTTGGGAAGAGCTGGATTCAAGTCTTAAGAAAACCATTCAACTCTTAACCCCTGAGCCTGTATTTTCAATTTCATGAAAGGGAGTTAATACCCATTTTCTTGACTGTTGGGAGGATTAAATCACCTTTGATAAATTAGATACAGACCAACTAGGCTTTCTTACTAGATGTTTGTCCTGTTTCTCTGTCTGATCCCTTATCTGGAGCAGTAAAATGAAATGGTTTTTACCCAAGGGCATAGAACGAAGTCTTGGAGTTTTCATCTTCTACTTGCATAACTTTGACCTTCTGGGTCTCTTTAGCCTTCACTCCCCAGGAGCTGTCACCGGAGGCAGAGGTTAGTACTTTCCCACAGTTCCCTGCCAGCAGTGTGCTCCTTATGCCATTCTGAAGCTGATCACTTAGCAGGCCCTAGCACAGGCAAACATGGCCTCTCATTCGGCCTCACATTGGAGCTCATCGACTGTGCGACTTACACCTTCTCTTCTGTTTATGAAATAATGCTCATAGGTGTTCAGCTGCTTAAATAAATCTTAACTCTGGTAATACCAAAATAACCCTAAATCTACAACAGATGCAAGGATGCCCCCAGGGGCAAATGTTAAGTGTGGTGACAGCTGGGCATCAATTAATACGTTTGTCACCTGTTCTTAAGCTGGTGCCCTGTGAGGTTTGGCAAGAAACAAATACCCTTTGTAACACTGCACAAAATTGAGTTACTATCAAAAAAAAAAAAAAAATAGCTGGCGGTGGTGGTCAGTTTTACTTTAACATCCTGTCTTGCCTGTTTGAGGTCACATTTTCTGTGAATTTTGAGGAAGCCTATGAGAAGGCTGGCAAGAGCCATGGCCCCTTCATAACCTTGTCCAAGTACCCCCAGCATTTTTTTTTTCTGGGAAATCTGGGCCTTCTTACGGGCTTAATGGTCATAATTTATTAGGTAATAACTATTTAAAATAAAACTAAGAAATGCACAAAATACACTCTTTTCTAACATTTGGAGAGTTATTTGCTAAATTAAAAGACAAAATGCCAAGACCGTAAATTACTTTCATATGTTAAGAGAGAATGTTTAAATTGTACTTTTTTTTTTCCTTAACAATGTTTACTCATGAGCTTAGCATTTAAATGGTTAAAACAAGCCTTTGAAGTTAACACTCCATTAAGATGAATGGGGGTAATTCACACCTCTGCTGGGGCTGTATTATTTCAGTCTGGCTGTGGAGAAAACAGGACAGCAGCCTGTTGATTTACTGTGCAAAGTCCTTTCAACACCCACCGGCTGGAGAGCTTTGTTCTTCTGGTTTCCTTTGTTTGTTTGTTTGTTTGTTTGTTTTGTTTTGTTTTGTTTTTCCAACTAGAAACGGGATCTTAAGGTTGCCATCGTGTTTAGGTCTAGAACTGGAGTCTTGGGAGGCTGTGGATTGTCTGCTCTCTGGTGATAGTGCGTGTGCCATTTGATGGGTAGTGGTTTACCAGGCCGCTAAAGCTCCCTGGCTTTGTTCAGTTCCACACTGTAATGTATTCTGTGAAGTCTGGCTTAGTCCCTTGAAAATTCGCCCATGGAAAAGCAGGCAGGTCCATTTTCAGGTTAACTTCGAGTGTGTCTTTAGTAGATTAAGAACTAATTGGCTTTCTTGTATTCTTAAAAACTTTGTTTTTGGCAAAGTTTATGTTCCTGTTTGTCTCTATAAAGATCTATCTTTTAAAAAGCCAGGCATGGTGGTGTAAGCCTTTAATCCCAGCAGGATGAAGCAGGTGGGTCTCTGTGAGTTCCAGGCCAGCCTGATCTACATAGAGTTCCAGGACAGCTGCATAATAGAGAGACCCTGAGTCAAAAGGACAAAAAAAACAAAAAAAAAAAAAAAGAAAAAGAAAGAAAGAAAGAAAGAAAAGAAAATCAACCTTAAGAACTTTTTTTTATGTCCTTAAAGATGACTCAGGTCCTCTGACCTCCACGTATTGTGATACAATATTCATACTCCACCCCACCCCCACACCTCCTTTCTGTATTCCTCCCGGTAGTGAGGTGATGAGCAGAGATCATCGTGCAAAAACTCCTTTCTCAGTAGGCCCTTTGTAGTGTGTAACCCACTCACTGGAAGTGCAAAAGCCATTTAACCTGAAAGGATTCATTTTAGAGCCTAGGAATACAGTGTGCTTAGCACACATAACATGACTAACAATGTGTGAAGGTTAATGAATTTGAAGGATCTTTCTAATGTGGGCAGGTTTTTCTCCCTCCTTCTGCCCTGCATGTTTGTGAGATCGGGTTACTGGGTACCCTGTGGGGAGCTGGATGTGGGGGTTCCTCCTCTACTGTCTGTGGCATTGGTGTTGCCAATGGGATATGGAGACAGAGGGGAGATTGGGGAAACAAAGGAACCCACCCAAGCTGCACTGGCTTTACCCTCAGAACAGCACTCTGCATCTGCATGGAAACGGTCCTGTGATAAACATGCAGATTCTGACGTCATGATGTCTGATCTTAGGTCATCTCAGAATCATTTATAATACTGATAAGTTTGTTGTCTAATTTAAATGAGTGGTTTCTTCACTCTTCTACCTGCACTCTTGCAGTCTTTGACAGTGGGATAGACAAATCAGAAAAGGAACTTGGAGTGAAAGTTCTTTGTCTTGTCTCTCTCTCTCTCTCTCTTGCCAGTCAGGAAGAGCAGGAAGACTCATCTTGGCTGTCAGCCAGGTGGACAGGTGGGCATGAGAGCTCTATTTACCTGAGGGACAAAGTAGATGGGGAGAAAGGGAAGTTGAGTTGACAGAGTGGGGGACAGATGGTTGAAAAGAGATTGTACCATGGGATACTAATTTTTTTTAAGTGACCTTTAGAAAAACATCTCTCACTTGTTTCAAGGCATAATCTATTTATCCAAGGTCATCAAA